GGCTGTTGTACTTTTTCTAATACTGCTGGAAAATCTTTTTTCTAGAAAAAATTTCCTGACAGTATTTAAATAATCCAGCCCTCTTTAGAATGTATGTATCATTTTTATAGTCCGTTTCATATCAACATTTCCGACCTAAAAAATAATAAAATACAACATATATGTATATATCAGTCTCATAATTTTGAAATAACGATTTAAGAGTCTAAGCATTAAAGGGTTAAAAACTACGTAACTTTTGTCGCTATAAAATGATATCTTGTACAAAGACGACCATCTACCGTAACAATCGAATACGAAGTATATTTTGTACGCGCTTCATCCGAATTTCTGCTCGGCGGAATGGATCTACAGCATTCGATAAACCGGTATCGAAAAGCGGTACACGCCTGACTTCGAATTAAAATCACGGAATAATTGGAGGGTGACTCTCGCGAGTGAGGAGCCGGCCGCGCGTAGTTCCATAAACCTACATTTTAATTCAATCGCGTTGGGGAAAGGGAGGGGAGAGGGTGAGCGAGTCGGTGGAACCGGGTAGCAAAAGAAAGCCCCGACGACGGGCGTAGGAGCTTGCGCGTTGGAGACAAACAAGCGAGCGAGTCTCGAAGGTTCGACAGATGGAATGAATTTAAAGACAAAATATTTGAAACAGAGGAACAAAGTCACAGAGAAGAGTACAGTGATTCATACATCAGTTCACATATTTCTGAATTTGCAATCAAAGAGACTGGATTATTTAAATACCGTTAGAAAATCTTTGCGATAAATTAATATCGCAGTATAATTTAAAGTAAGACCAATTACCTATTATCACTTTCCCGGAGGGAGGGTTTTTGTGTTTGCAAATTTCACAACTTCAGGTAGTCTAAAAATATTTAGAAATTACTATTTTACTTTTGTTTGTCGAACTTTAGATATAGGAAAAGCGATTTTCCCTATTTTTTAGCTATTATTTTAGTAGTTTGTTAGCATACTATTACGTAGGTTACACGGCACGAGTACAGAGTGCCTCTGAAAGTTATGTACAAGCGGGCATGAGACGATTCTATGTGAAAAAACAAGTCGAAAATATGGAGTACAATTTTTTATTCCTTTAAGACTTTGTTTTCGTGAAAACTGACTTTGGACACTAATCTGAAACGCATGTATTCGTCGTGCTAGTAAGTAGAAATGGAACGTAATGGACAGACGCGCTGGCCAAGTCCCGTTCACCATACGCGTGTCAATGATTTTGCAAATTTGGCTCTCTCGAAAATGAAGTCTTAAATGAAAGATTTTCTTGTTAATTTTTTTCATATCGTTTTATGAGGAATCACCTCATGCCCGCTTGTACACACCTTTCGGAGGCACTCTCTATATTTTCGACGATTTATGATTTAAAAAAAGGAAATAAAGCGTGTCTGGCTACGCACGGCCTTTTTCACTGTGACTGTCAACGTGGTAAGTATAACCTTGTTTTAATACCATTTCTATTCATATATTCTCTAGTATCATTATGGTTACCATCCCATCGTGATAAGTTTTGTTTTAAAATATTCACAGCCGGCGGTTAAAAGTATATAACGGGTTAAAAGTTCGCATTCTGGTACGTAGTTTGATCAAATGGAAGCGACAGCCTTCCGTGAACAAACATGCGAGGCACTGTACGTACGCTTATACAGTAAGCGGATAAATATATATATTCAATGCTAGAGAGAATGTTGTATCAAAATGTTCCTCCATTAAACTACAATAATCTTGCTTCATTCGGCAACGTTCAATTGGCAACAAGTTAGTCAAATCCCTCCCGCCCGTCAACTAGTAGGCTGCCCTCACTCGGCCTAGTAACTTCTCCCGCTTTCTCGGAGGTTTGAAGTACCGGAAGAAGGGATACACGGAAGAAAAGCTCGTGGCAGAACAAGAAACGAAATCGAGCAGTACCACCTATATTTGATAAAGCAGCAAGAACCGGCAGAGGGAAGCATCAAGAGTAGTGGACAGAAGAACAAGGACAGAAGATAGGTTTCTAGGTACCCAGAGAGGTAGGGCCAAGCGTAGAGAGGGGGAGGTTTTCCGTTAAGGGTGTCGAAGTCGCTGTGCCAAGGAGAAAGAGATAGAGTCGTGTGGTGGGCATGACGTCATAGTTGAGGGTTGCCCGGGCAACGGGGAAGCGGTTCCGCCGTCGCGTCGGGACGCCGTCGTGCGTCGCCACCGACGCCGCGACGTAAAAATCAATTTGGACCTTGGCTAGGTGACTGTTCGTTCGGCGCGCTGCATGCGTCGCGGCGGCTGCTCCGACGTCGGCGGCTCGAGGCAGTTTCGAGAGGCAGCAGCACGCTTCTCTTCCGGAGACGAGGTGTGCCGGCTACCTCGCCACCCGCGAGCAAGCAAGCTAGCCATAGACTAGGCTACCGACCGATACACACCACCACCAGAGAGAGCTCAGTCGCGAGTCGCCAACCGAGCGGGTAACCCAGGGCCAGAGACGGATAGCCTCTACCGTAACGTGTCCGCCCGGCCTGCCCGCCCCGCGCCTTTACTTTGCTTCATTTTTTCTTTCCTTGCGAGCCTGTCACATCGCAACAACCACTATCAGCACGAAAATACAGATACATACATCCCCATATACCGTGTGTCTGTCTGTGATCGCGTCTAAACAGTCGTCTAACCTCGAGACCGTGGTCTCTGTCTTTCTCACGCGTACGCGCGGACGATGATCCACGAGGGGATCGCCTGGCGACGTTGCTGATACACAACCACCGCGGGAGACACGCTGTTATCTAGCACGCGCGTGTAGAAACACGTTGGTCTTCGTGGAAGAGGATCAGGTGATGTGGACATCGATGAATATGATTTAAATCTCGAGTGTAGAAGGACTGTAACCCTTGGGTGGTGGATAGTACCTTGTCGTGGACCGAGGTACAAAACGGGCGTCTGACTGGTCCTCTTCAGAGACTTTCAATCGACCGTGCACTTCGAGGGTCTCTGACCTAAGAATACAAGAGAATATATTCGGTGTGGGGCTAGGCTGTTTTCAACAATTTCGCGTTTGCTCTCGAAGCTTTCTTTTACCCAGTCGTTCGCGTCGAGAGAGACCATGATCGACCCGAAGAGGGGAGTGAACGTCGTACAGATCGCCGAGTCGAGGGAAGAACGACGCCGAGGATTGTGCTGGTCGAGCGTGTAGATTATTCTACTTACCCGGTTGGACCCTGTGGTCTCTCGAGAACTGGTGGTGTGTGATCTCTTCGACTTCTCCACGGGCGTTACGAGAGCGAGTGAGAGAGAGAGAGAGAGAGAGAGAGAGAGAGAGACAGAGAGGGAAGGAAGGAGGAAGGAGCCCACCGTGGTGACGCATGCGACGTGCCGTCTATCGCGGGAGCTCCACCAGAGAGGAAAACCACATACACACACATCCGCGCGGGTGATGATACACCGGTGCGAGGCTTTTTAACTCGTGCGCCTTTCTACTTGCTGCTCTGACGTATTACACCGAGGGGAGGGAGTCGCGAGCGTGGTGTGGTCCGAGAAGCTTCACTTGCGGCGTTCCCGCGACAACGACGGGGAGAGCCGCCTCGAGCGGGTAAAAAAAGCTCGCGCGTGCCGAGAACAATCGCTGATTCACCACCACCACCACCACCATCGGCCACCACCGCGCACACTGTGCTCGACGACGAGGACGACGAGAGCGGTCGTGTGTCTCCTCGAGCGGCGAACGATGCTCGTGGACCGTGCGACGACATCGAATATTCGACCGGGACGTGTCGTGGGAACTGCCGCGGAATGGCTCGAAGAATTCTGTGAAAATTGAGGATCCCGTGAAAACAGAAAATCCCTGGTTCCTCGCCAAGAATCCAGTGGCGGGAGTTACTTCGTTATAAAGTTCGTTTGTCGTGATTCCTCGGCTGTCTGGAACAGAAGATTACCTTCTGGTGTGGCGGACAGGAGTCCTTTAACGAGAACCAACAATGACAGAATACACTATTGTCCTTTCTTGGATTAATTGAAACGTTACTGCACGCTGTGTGAAGAATGGTGTACGGGATGCTTGGAGTTTCGCCACTGTTACATCGTGTAAATTAAACTTGTATATGTGTGCATGTGTGTGTGTCCTGTGCCCGACGATGTAGATGTTCGATGGTTCTCGAGGATAAAGAGGAACTAGGCCCTGGTCGCGGTTCTTAAGTCACACCGAGCAGGGAAAGGAGTAACCGAGGAAAGAACAGATGGAAAAGATCTTGGGAGCTGGATACCGATCTGGACGTGGCGAATAGATAGAGGGAGAGATAGGCGAATGAGCACGGAGAGCCGTATCGATGATGTTGGAAGGCACGTTGCCAGGAGGCGATTCGCTGCCGGTGGTGTTCGCGTTCCTTCGCCGGTTCGAGTGAGCTCTGTTGTTCGTAATATCGCGTAAGGTGACGTGTGCAAGAATTAGCGGCAGAAAAAGAAAACCGGCGGAAGGAGGAGTAGATAGAATGGTGTGTCACGATGACGGACTTGGTGGCCGTGCACGATCTTAGGATCGCGGTTACGACGTTCCCGAAGGGATCGTGGTCGTCGACGCGTTGCTGGTGGGACGGTCGCCGGTCGACGATCAGCTAATAGAAGGTTGCACGGTCGCATGGCGACTGGGCCCGACTTCCGGGGGCTAAATCGCTAGGTGACACTGGTCTAGAAGGACTTCTATTCCGGGAGTCGAAAGCGATCCGTAGCAGTTACCTTCAAGGGGGGAGGGTGGGATTCGGGACGGATCAAGTTTTCCAGGGGGGAGGGGGGATTGCTCCAAGAAGCATAAAATCCAACAGGGGCATAAAGATGAGCATCGAGAGGATAGAAAGGGATAAAGGGTGCACACAGGATACACACGGAAGAGGTGTAAACGTTACCGAATTCTAGAGATCTAGCCGGGGCATTTGGGTGGCTAGGAGACTCCGACTTGGTGAAGGAGAGAGGAAGAAGATAAGTTGACGAAAATTCGGTGCGCGTGAAGTAAAACTGTTCACCGCCATAATTGAACCATGGCCTCGGTGGCGGCCTGGCTGCCGTTCGCACGTGCGGCAGCGATCGGTTGGGTGCCGATCGCGACCCATCCGTTGCCGCCGCCGCCGATCCCGAAGGATCGTCGCAAGGCGGACGACGAGAAGCTGCTGATCAACGTGAGCGGTCGTCGTTTCGAGACGTGGCGGAACACCCTCGAGAAGTATCCGGACACTCTGTTGGGCTCGAACGAACGTGAATTCTTCTACGACGAGGAGAGCAAGGAGTACTTCTTCGATCGTGATCCGGACATATTCCGTCACATATTGAACTATTATCGTACCGGGAAGCTACACTATCCGAAGCACGAATGTCTGACCAGCTACGACGAGGAGCTGGCGTTTTTCGGTATACTGCCGGACGTGATCGGCGATTGCTGTTACGAGGATTACCGTGACCGGAAACGGGAGAACGCGGAACGTCTTATGGATGATAAACTTAGCGAGAATGGGGATCAAACGTTGCAACAGCTGCCCGATATCAGGCAGAAGATGTGGCGGGCGTTTCAGAATCCTCATATATCGACCGCCGCGTTGGTGTTCTACTATGTGACCGGTTTCTTCATCGCCGTTAGCGTGCTGGCGAACGTGGTCGAGACCGTGCCGTGCGGTAATCGTCCGGGACGCGCCGGCACGCTTTCATGCGGCGAACGTTACAAGATCGTGTTCTTCTGTTTGGACACCGCGTGCGTGATGATATTCACCGCGGAATATCTGTTGAGGCTGTTCGCAGCACCGAGCCGTTGTAAGTTCGCACGATCCGTGATGTCGATCATCGACGTGGTCGCCATATTGCCGTATTACATCGGTCTCGGTATCACCGACAACGACGACGTGTCCGGCGCGTTCGTCACATTGCGGGTATTTCGTGTGTTCCGGATCTTCAAGTTCTCCAGGCACTCTCAAGGTCTGCGGATTCTCGGTTACACGCTGAAGTCATGCGCCTCGGAGCTCGGTTTTCTCGTTTTCTCGCTGGCGATGGCGATCATCATATTCGCCACCGTGATGTTCTACGCGGAGAAGAACGTCGACGGGACGAACTTCACGTCGATACCCGCTGCATTCTGGTACACCATCGTGACTATGACCACATTGGGGTGAGTTCTTTTCTCGTTCTTCTTCTTTGTTTTCTTTTCGTTACTATTGGGTCGTCCGGAAAGTTCATGGAGTTTCTAGCACAGTGGTTTTATTATATTTTTCCTGGACGAAGGAAAATTCGTTTCATTTCGCGAATGGGTACTATTTTCCAGACGTGAATTACATGTATTTGGTATAGAAGTTATTATTGGTCGTTCCTGTTTTGTTTTCTGTGTGAAATACCGACGAAATGTATAAACAACTGTAAACTCCATTTTCATTACGTTCTGTCAAAGTTGTACGAAAAAGACACTACTTCAGCTGGAAGATTTTATGACATCTATCAAATTACATAGCCTTTGCCTTATCTGATAATTATTCTTTTACATCACTAGAATATTCTCTGTCAAGAGAGAACGTCGAAAACAACCAATTCATCTTCTCTTTCAAGATTTTTGGATTTGTTCTAAAACTACCTGTATATTGTCACACGTTGATAGGAGATATCTCACCTTAAAAATAATTGCTTTTTAGCCAAACATATCTACATCGTGAAACGGTGGTAGGTTTCGTGCGAGTAGATTACAACTGTCGTACAATCACAGCAGAATTCAAAGGTTGATCAGCAGAAACGAATGTCCGTTTAATTCCAATTTTTGTCGACCAACTTGGAAGGCAGCGATTGAATTATGGAAATCGGTATTCTTTGTTTACGGATTGTAACCCACAAGAGAATTCTAATTGACTTTGTTTCTTGCATAAATTAAGCAAAGATAAGGGCTCAGGGAGGGTAGCGAGTCCTTTATCCTCATTACTTTGTGAAGAGGTAACAGGCACAAAGCTTCGAGTACCACGTCGAAACATTCAACTTTCCGGCGAAGCAAAGTGCGCCGATCGCAGAATTGGCTTACTTCTACGCACAGAGCAGAGAATTTAATGATCCAGGGACACTCCGTGTATTAATAATTAGATTGTGGATTTTACGCGTTTACAGTACTTACACCATTGTATCCCAAGAAAGCAAAGCTCCTAATGAAGGTTTGCCATATCCTCGATAGACAATGTAAGTTTTCTCTTTCCTTGAGTCGCTATACTCGAAACACAAATATCCGTTGTGCCTTAACAATACTTGTGTCAAGCTCACATGGTGGATAGAAAAAGTATTTACACGCAAGAGTTTCGTAAACAAATGTATGTATTAAAAGGAAAAAAGTACATACTAATAGGTAGAATGATATTATTTGTACAATCTAATCTATAAAATAATTTCTGACAATCGGATGTGTGTAACAAGACAGTTCTAAGACTAAACTAAGAAAACTGAGTTTAAAGTTTACGATGTTTAATATTATAGAAGCAGGAAAGTAGAGAAATAACTAAGCACACTATAGTATCATCTACTAAATAGCTATTTATTACGGTATTTAACAAAATTTTATTATTAATACAAATTTCTAATAGTTTTCAGTATTTAGAGATACAACTATTAAGAAAAAAAGAAACTTTCAAATTTTCGGAGTTAGGACTGAAAGGAATAGTTGTTATTTTCCAGTTTGAATTTTCTTTATATTATAGTGTACCAATTTGTATTCGTTGTACCAATGAGACGTAAATTGATTCACGAACTTTGTTTGAAAAATGCAGTTAGCATAGTTAAGAACTCGGGCGATGAGTTATAAAATAATTAGTACATCCAAATGTGAATCGGGTAAACACAGTCCCTCTCGAGATCCACGACACTCGAACGTATCCAGACAGTTTCGCAAATAGTTAATTGGCTTGGCGTAAACCGCTAGAAGCTGCGACAAGCACTGGTCGTATTTTTAACAGAGGTCGTTGTCGACCTTTTTTACCACCGAAGGACCTCGCTGACTTTCTTTAAATATCCACCGCGACAGAGAGAAGCAACAACCCCCGGGAAAGCACCATCGAGACGACGATTTCTTGCATTTACCGCTTTCATCTCGTCGTTTTATCGCGGAGGCCTCCTCTCTTTTCCGCGAATTAAACCAACCGATCCCTCCGTATCCTCGCTGAACGTCCAACGAGAACGCTTCTGTTTGCTTTTAGTTTCTGAAGACCGCTTGGCCGCTGCGTCGACGAAAATTTCTGTCTCTCTGCAAACCTCATTCTTTCATTCCTTCTCCAGCCTTTCACGAGGACGGAGTCTCCGCTTTCTGCAGGCAGATCCTCGCAATAAGGCACCCCGAAACGTTTATTCCGTCTTTAGAGATATTTCGCAATGACGACTGTGTAGCGTTAACGGCTAATAACCAGGGAATTATTTATACAGACCGTGCTTTATATTCTGGGATAATATACAATCTTATCCTGTGGGTGCTCAAATTATCAGAGCTACTTGTATAGATTGACGATTTTACGATTTCATCTGGGTTTTTGTTCTTTATAATTACACGAACTAAGTTTAATTTCTTTTCTGGATTTTTAGTGCAGAATTGTTTGGTAAAAATTATCCACTAGGTAATAGAGTAATAATCCAAGTAAAAAGATTATTCTGCGAAACCTATTTTTTTTAACTTTTAAATGATTTGGGAATGGAAGGATTAATGCCGACAGGAGGCTGACTCGATATGACGGATTCAGCGTCAGTTTCGTTGCGTGAAAGCGATCGTCTAGGCCGGTGGTCGCCGCGGGAGGGCTCGCCTATCCCCCGTTTCCGGCCCACGGAAGCGACCTGTACAGCCCCTCCTATTTCTGCTCCGGTGAAATCTGTGTCAATGGTATTTTCGTTTCGTTTTCGCCGCGGACAGCTGACAATCAGCGTGATCACGCAGCCGGTGGTCGCGTCTCGTCTCGCACAGCGCGAGCTATTCGCCAAGCTTGCGACTTTAAGATCGCACAAAAACAGCCGACGAATTCGAGTGTTCCTTCGCAACTTTGATCCCCCCATCATTGCGTTTTCAGGTCATTTTCTACCGTCGTGCGACGTTTTCTTCATTTTTGTGTTCGGAACGATCGCGAGTGTAGCCTGATCCAATGAACGAAAATATTGTGGTCCGTGCGTGTGATGTTTTTACTCCGGGAAGTGGCTGTTTTGGGGAAAGTTTGTGGATTTTCCGGTTGGAAAAATCATCCAATGGAAATTTCAGAATTTCCATTCGGCCACACAGTTCCAATAGTAAACAAAAATTAGCCCGTGCAACGTTACAACGTCCACCGTGTTTATACGCTTGTGGCCAGTGGCAAAATGACGAACTCTACAGTGTTTTCCTCGTTCATACGCTCACGGAAAAGTCAAACGAGAGACAGTAGCGAGTTGTCACGAACGATTTCCTGGTTAAAATATTCCCGATAAAGGAATCCGATGGAATAACGTTCTGTCGTGAAGTGAAATGATAGAGCAAAACCATTGGATTCGGAACCAATCGTGATCCATCAATTTCCCCTTCTCTAATATGTATCATTTTATCTCAAATATCACATGCAGAATATATAGTACATAATAATATATGAATATCACTTAATAACAACGAAGTTTCAACCCTTCTGACTGCGATAGTTTACGCGTTTCGATGAATTCCTGTTGGTTTAACGTTCAGTTTAGTTAACAGGACACAGGTTCCCCCGTTCTTTACCCACGTTAACCTCTTCAATTTTATCATTGATTCAGCACAATCTCTTTATCTAATATTCTTCCCTTATCCTTCAACGAACGTATAGGGAGATGTTTAAAAGCTCCAGTTCGTGGCGGAACGGTCGATTGCGACTGCACCGGGGGGATTTAATTAGGGAACAGGTGACAATGTTTCGTTGATTGGAGTAACTTTCCTGGACGACTCGGCTGGACACACGGATCGGCGAACGTATAAGGTTCATTAAAGGATAATGACGGCCCATTATTACGCGGTTCGCGATCCCTCCTCTTCTATCCCCTCTGGACAAATGTGTCTCGTCGATGGAATTATAATAGGCGACGTTTCCACGTTTTCGCCGTTAATTATCGCGATTTAGCTCTCCCAGTTCTGTCTCGGTCGGTCGGATTTTCGCTGTTTCTGTTTTCCTCACCCCTCCCAAGCCTTTGATAATTTTAATCGCGCTCCATTAAATTGTTTCGACCGTGGAAACATATAACACTTCGGTCGACGGTGAATTTATCAGAACTCTGGGCGTGATCACTCTCGATCCTCCTGTTATACCGTTATATCGATTCTTGTTTCTGGTCGTCAATTTTGGTCGCTACTTGTTCGAATGAAAATTAATCCGATCGATTTTCGTTTCGACTGCTATTGCCAAGATTTTGTTTGGTAATTCGACGGAAAAACATTTGTTTATCATTTCGCGCCTTTTCTTTTTTTCTTTTTTTTTTTCTTTTCATGGAACAGATGGGAGCAGCCGGAAAATCCTTCTGGAATACGGATAAATACTGAATAAACATTTGAATTGGTGGGGGAAGATATGTACATAAATGACAACAAAATGCGGAAATGTAGCCAATCCCTGTGGAATTTCAAACAAACGTTCAACTTGTTACATTTCAGTGTTCGTCTTTTTTTTAGCTGAAATAATGTAACTTGGAATAAGATGATTATGACTTGGACTAACTCCAGATTTTGAATTTATTTTGCAAACTTCAGTGCCAGTGCACTAATTGATCGGTGTTTAACTCTCTGTATTTAAAATAAATTTCCTTGATAGTTTTCGGCGTCGTTAATCGCTTTAGCAGATGAACGGCTCATTTTACGGTATTACAATCTTTAGAAAAAAAAGGTAAGAGTTTTCGTTGCTAGACGAACATTTCTAAAACAATTATATAAATAGTAAGAAAAATATTTTATACATATCGGGGTAAGAATGAATCGATGGTATTAAAAAAAAAATCATTCTCCAAAGTTACGTATACGATGCCTTTCTAAAATCTGTTAAATTATTCATAACATTTTCCAAACAGAGCTGGCCATAGTCTACCGATCCTAATTAAAGAATTATTATTTATCAGGTGTATGCTCGGGGCAAACGGTGAAGTGCATACACATTAGTCAGAGTCAGGGATTCGCTGTCG